GAATCGAAACGTTGTTATTAAATGTTAGCGGTTCACCTGGTACGTTAAATTAACACTGAGCACTTTGAATGCTGTCATTACAGTGAGCCCACACTCACCCTTCGTTTTTTCCCCCCTGTCTCTGTTGCACATCTCTCCCTCGCACATCTGCACGGAGGGAGAGAGGAGCGCATGACATTTCATTACAGCAACATCAGAGCACATCACATCACCAGACTAGTCATTATGCCTGTCCGTTCCCTCACTTTACAGCGCGGCTTAAAAAGTGAATAAAAACTCGTTAAACGGTGAAACTGATATGCGGTTGAGGGAGTAAACACCACTTCAGGACAATATGGTTTGAGTACTCGTTTTTATTACACCCTATCCAAAACTTTTAATTATTGCTTTGACTTCTTTGTACTGAGCAGTGGGTCTCTGAGCCCTCCCCAGACAGGCCATGGTTTTGCTCTAACCCATTGGGATAGAAGAAAAATGTGGATTGTCAGGGGCTTGATGTCTAGTTTGAGATCCAGTGACTTCGAAGTGGTAGTTCTGCAAGACATGCTTGGTGTCTGAAGTTTGTTTCTTTAGTTTTGCAGTGGAGCTATGAGGCTAATGTAGCCAACAATTACTGAAAGCTTCAATTAACTTCCAAATTCCTTCAATGAGCGTTATACAAACTGCATGCCTAGACAATCACAAACTTGCCTCAAATTGCTTAAGCAGATTTGCTTTGTTTGTGGTTTGTCACACTGCATGACACACTTGTCTACAAAATGGACTGAGAAAATTCAGGCTTTAAGATGCTATCACTGTTTTTAGCTATGACTCATCATATTTTATTTTTTTAAAAAAGAACTTTCATCTAGGGATGCACCGATATGGGAACTGTGGGCCAGTGATAATATCTAACATATTTTTCATATCCATATCTGCCAGAGCTGATGCCAATGTATACAAAATGTAAAATCTACCTAGATTAGTATTATAGAGAATCATTTATTTCTAAAAGCTTACAAATGGAGTACAAAGACTAAAATGCTAAAATTTCAGCACAGTAGCCCAGTATCGCATAAACATGCTGCTCTTCCAGGGTGCAATTAATGTCGGTTTGAAATATAACTCAAATATAAATATCTGGGTGACACTATTTTGAGTGGTCCTGCTTAAATGAAACGAACACTCAACAGACTCACAGTAACATGTCAAAAACATATGAGGGTTAGGATTAGGTATTGGGTTGAGGTTAGAGTTAGGGTTAGGGCCAGGGTTAGGGTTAGGTTTTGAGTAAGGTTGGATAAGTTTAAGTTTTGCGTATTGGAAGCAACATATTCACAATACATCTACTTAATTTAAGTAATGTATCCACAGAACATCTACAAGATATTTACTTCAATGTATTCAGTTGCTTTACTACTGCTGCTTCCCTGATATGTTGTTAATGTGTTACTGATAATCTGTTAAGAGTTTATTAACCATCTACATAGGACCACTCCAAATAAAGTGTTAACAGTACCTGTCCTATAATCTTTATCAAGCAATTACCTACCAACACTAACATGATTCCAATATTATCATCTCCACTTTTAATATAAACATGTCTATATTGCTCAACAATATTAAAACAAGGTTTGATTTTTTTGCCAGACTATTTTAAATTACTTTAAATATACACAAAATACTGCCACGGCCCCCAAACACGTAGCAAGCAGTTGCAATAACACAGATAAAATCTCGAGGCTTATATATCCTTTCTGCTTCCAGTTTTATACCATAACTGAGTGTAATTTCCCCTCGCCACCAATTGCATGCTAATTCACGCATTCACACACCCTGTGCAGCCCTGCCTCTCTCAGCTCTGTTCCTCAGCAACTCTCTCTCTCTTTTTGGGCCAGAGGAGGTTAAAAGTTCCCTCCGATACAGCAGGGGCTGGCTCTCACCCAGGCCGATATGGGAACCAGGGCAGAGGAGGCATAAAGGCCTGATTGTGGCTGGGCACCAGCTTGGAAACAACTCTCAGGCCTAATGAAACCAAAGCCGGGCTACAGCAGGACAGCAAAGTCCAGCACGACTAAAAAGAAAAACAGGACGGAGAGGGGGCGGCAGTGACGAAGTAAGCAGGAGTTGTTTCAGCTTAGCCAAATAAGTGCACTTTGTTTGGAGACACGCTCCAAGCCGATTACAATAAACCTATGACTAAGCATAAGCCATCCCATCTAATTAGGCTGCCTGAAAGGTTCGCAGTGGAGAGAAACGAGAAGTGGAGCGCAGGCTTTTGCATAATCATCACGACAAACCTAAAGTCATGCAGTTTCTAACTAACCTGTTTATCATTCCGAATATATATAACGTTCCTATCAACATTTTAAATCTGTGCCATGAAGCTACGTCATTAGGGCTGTTACAATTGATCAATTACAATTACATGTTAAAATAAGGTTAAATTTTAATCAAGGAATTGGTAGTGGTGGCCATTTACATTATAATAATGCATATCTACTGGTCAATTATAACAGTAAGAAACACTCATTTATATGCATTTTTGCCACAGTGTTTTTAGACGTTTAAGTCTTTTTAAAGGTTTCCTTTTTGATCTTCCATTCAATAAGGTATTTTGAAATCCTATGGCTGTGCACAATCGCTCATAGTTTATTTTCATTGTTTGTTTTTTTTACAAACTGATTGCTCGAGTAATAGACAAAATAATTAGTAGATCATGCAATTACTAATATAATCTGTAGCAACAGCTCTAAATGTCGTACTGCTTCAGCGCTGTTACCTAACATAATGAACTCAATGTTAGCAAACAGATTTCCTATCCTATTTCCTTTCCTACTTCCTATTTCCTATTTTCCTATGTCTCAAAGTACAACTCATTAAACTTAGTTATTCTTTCACTTGAATTGTTAGTCTATTAGTACAAAGAAACAGCATTTAATAGTAAAGTAGTTTTAAAACACCTACATGAAAGGATTTTTAAGGGTCTTAATTCTGCAGAGGTGTGAAATTAATGCCCCTTAGTGGTTCTTGAGAGAAGTGTGTGTGTGTGTGTGTGTGTGTGTGTGTGTGTGTGTGTGTGTGTGTGTGTGTGTGTGTGTGTGTGTGGTCTCTCTCCTAAAGTGTAAGCTGTCATGGAACAGAAAAAGGGTTCAGGAAGAGCATAGCATTCAAAGAGACAGATCCTGTGACCCTCCTGCCCCATGCCACCTGCTCTCTTCCCAGGAAGCTCTCTCTGTGCCCGCAAAGGCACTATTAATTGGCCAACACACACACACACACACACACACACACACTCCTAGCAAAGTATCATCTTATCCTGCGACATTATGGCAAAACCTCTATAAAGACAGACATGCCGAGTCATCAAGAGATCGCAACAAATGAATAAACAGCCTTCACATCCTGACAAATCACTTAGAGACCCCAGACCTTTCACACACAAACACAACTAGGGTTGTCACTGTTGATGATCATCACACTGCACAATCATATAAAAAACCTATAAAGCACACACTTAATTTTCCCTTAAAAACATGAAATCTGTAACGACAAACACGCTGTGTGGGTTTCCTCCCTTTCAGCGATGCACACAAAAGCAATCTCCCCCTTCTTCAGAGTGCTGAATGTGGCTTTATAATGACCTGATTCCCTGATTATCAGTAAAATTGGAAACAAATCACTCAGCCGAATTATAGAGAATGTTCATTTTAAATAAGGATGTGCGTTTTGACTACTTTTGATTTGAATATTCACAAGAATTCATAAACTGATAACCAGATAACAGATAATCGGACAGCCAGGCTCAGAAGCAAAACAATGCAAAAGAAGAAAAAAATGATTTCAGCTGAAAATGTAGAGCTGCAGCTTAACTTTTTAGGTCACTACACTACTGTTCATTATACAAAAAAAGATTATAACTAGCAACCAACATCATCACCTTGCTTTTTCATTAACATCCTTAATAACACATGCTTTTTAACAAGCCAACAGTTCCGCAAAACATAAAATTGATTTCGGATGCATTGTCTTTCATCTTCCTATGATGAAACACAATCAATACTCAAATAGCGATTTCAGTATTTATCTACTGGCACTTCAAATAGTTAACACAGTACTCTGGCATATCCCTAAATTTATCAAGTAATTTTTTTTTAATTGAGTAATCTATATTAGTTAATTGCGACAGCCCTACAAAAAACACAGAAGCTTGGGACATCCATTATCACATTTTGAATTTTTCACCCCAAGAGAAAACTGCTCTCACTAAACTAGTTCCCTTCTAATTTTACAGAGAAGCAGTTCATTAATCTATCTTTCACCAACATAACTAACATCAACACTACCTTGTAAAACTCAGGCTTTAATGGATCTCCCAGTCCCTTCCAATAAGTTACCTCCTGATTTTGGCAGACAGTAAGAGACTTCTGTCAGCCCCAAGACAAAAAATGTACTCTTGTGACCTGAGGTGCAAAAAAAAAAAAATCTTGGTAACTTCTTTTAATTAAACTTTCTCAGCCTCATTGTTTACTGACAGCTCTGATGCCCCCTAGAACATGTCCACGGGACATTTACCAATGTAAGCAAACGTCTGATTAAATTAGTTTCTCCATTCAGACAATGCTGATTAAAAACAAAGGAACCAAGTATTAGCTATCAAAGGAAACCACTTGGAAATGTACCAAAGATAAACACTATCAAGACAAAAGACCAAATTAAGGTCTTAGCATTGCATCTTGAAGATACACGGTTGACAGTTCCATTTGCGATCTCTCAACATTCTCGTCTGGACTAGGCTCTTTGGCACTTCGTTTAGACTCTGTATTGTAAACTAAAGCTAACATCGAAGGCTAAGTGAAAACAAGGGGCACAGGGACACAGGCTATTTCATCTACTAAAGTCAACATCTGAAACGGCTGGTTTGAAAGCATCCACATGAAAGAGCTCATTGAGGAACACAGTTTCCTCATCACAGACACAGAGGCATCTCTCCATGAAATCAACAAACAAGGGGATCTTACCTTGCCAAACTGTTCGAAATACTGCTTCACATCTTCAACTACTGTGTTAGCTGATAATCCGCCTACAAATATTTTCTTTGTTCTTGTGACCATCTGGAAGAGAAGAGAAGGACAAAAGATTAAGCCCATGTGAAACCATTTCAGAGCAGACTTCAAAAGACAACACACACTAAAAGGAAGTGGAGGACGCTCAGAGCCAACGAGAGCTGGGAGATGACCAATTCTGCTGTTTTTCCCCCCACTGGGAGCATGTAGAGGTGGTACAATGTGTGATTAGCTGAGTGTGAGAGATGCACACAGGGACCAGATAACACCTCGTCTTCTATACCCACTGCTGTAGTCACTACCTGTCTCGTCCCACTAGCATTACACCTAGACTTAACACTTTTTGTTGTACACCAAGAGAAAACACCTGAGCTGTGAATATCGCTGCAGTGAAAAGACCTTTTAGGTCCCATGGTCCATTGTGGAAAAAACTGGGCCAGAAAACTTTTTTATTACCAGCAAAACAGCAACCACTGAAAAACAGCAGTAGTGCAGTGAAGCAGTAGCTTGATTGACCTTCAAAGGCATGCTAATGGAGACGAAAACAAAGGTGTTGAAAAGTTCCGATTCTCAGAGGTACATGTGGGTCTGTTTTGCTGAGCAAGATCTCAACAAGACAGACAGTATTAGAGGTTACCAACATCTCAGTTACACAACAGGAACATTTCTCAAAACACAATTAACTCTCGCTGCTTGAGAGATGTAGGGCGTAGGGAGGCCTGGGTTCTCCCGCAGCATGCTTAATTGTGCTGAGAGTTTGAGTATTGAGATCAAATAGCTCACCTATCATAGAGGGCAATGATAGCAGCTAACAAGAGAGTTCCTTAGGCAATGATATGGCACTTTTCAAGTTAAGAAATAAATGGAACGTATCCAACCTTGTCAACAATTTGAAAGGGAAGAGATTCATTCCCGTGTTACAGCAGACCAGAGTAGAGTTCCAAAGACGCTGCAAACAAAACGGGTGCCTAGAAGAATAGAGGCATTCATAAGCACCGATCCCATCCATCGAATGCCGTCTTTGGCAACTGAAATGCACACCCTCTGCCTTCATGTTGGCCGCCTGCCACCCCAACATCTTTCACAGTGTTTTTCACTCTCATCCGCAGCCTTCCGCGGCTAATCCGTCTGTCTTTCCCCCTGTCGTTTTTGTGGGGCCTGGGCTGCCCAACGTGTCAGGGGAGAGTTGCATTTTTAGCGGCATCTTTATGCCCTTTGACAGCGCCGGCTCGTGGCTGATGGGATTCCTCAGGCCCAGGAACAACGCAATTACTCTGTCCATTTCTCTCCATGGTGACAACAGACAACAGCAGGCCTTTGCTCTTCTCTCCTCTCCTGCTCTAGCGGTCTAGTGGGACTGCAGCTCAGTCTCAAAAGCACACTACCCTGTTGCTGCCACCACTCGTGCATTTGCATTCAGACTGCCGGCCTGGACAAGATTATGAACAACACAATGAAAGCAAGCCAGTCGGTACAACAGCCTTTCTGAGATGACGTGCTAAAATAAATGCATGCTTGCAGACTCATTAGGTCAGGACAGTAAGGCTTATCAGCAAGTTGCTATTGAGGGCATGATTTGTTGGGTCTGAATTTGGACAGCAACATCCATAGTTGTCCAAACGTCTTTTCCTGTGTCTCTTTTCAGGCACTGTGCACTGTGTAGTACAGATAGCGATGACATAGAACAGTGGTCAGCAACTCTCCTCCTGGAGATCTACTTTCTTGCAAAGTTCAGTTTCAACCTGAATCTGGCACGATGCCCCTCCCATTTACCTAATACTACTGCATCAGATTCAGCCAATCAAGTTAATTTAGTTAATTCAGCCAAAAAAGTTAATTAGCAGGAGCAGGTGTGGCAGACTGTGGTTGGAACTAAACTCTGCAGGAAGGTTGATCTCCAGGACCAGTGTTGGTGACCACTGTACAAAAAAAAACTTGATAGAGAGATTTGTGCATGTGAAGAACCACTTAAAGGTTACATTCACATAAAGGTTCTTAACCAATGTAACAGTTCTTTCTAGAACTCTTACATTATCTGGAGGTTCTTTAAACCACTAACTTTTTGCTAACTAAACAGAAATGACATATTACCTCAACATGTGCCATTTAAATCATACCTGAATATCCTCCATACAAACAGTCACCAATTTTAAAATAAACTACACTATACTACACTCTTAAAAACACAGGTACCCAAGGATTGGAAGAACCAATTTGGGTTCCCTTTTCAAAAACCTACAAAAACCTGTTCATTTTTGTAACTGAAATTTAAGAGTATGAAGAACCTTAAATTGGTTGAGTATGTGAAGGTTCTTTAAATGTTTAAAAGATTCTTCACTCACAAATGATTATTTAGGGGAGCACACATGGTCCTTTCATAGCCCCACTCACAGAACCCTGTATGGAAACTTGAAAAAAAAAAAAAAAAACTTTTTAGATAGCATCGGCTGTTTTGAAAATTTCAAACCTCTGAAGGCTTCTCCCATTCCATTCCATATGGCGGCCTATGAGCACAAACACTCCATGTTTCATTTTTCACCAGTTCTAGTGCATCATCCCGACATCAGAAGTAGTACATCTTGCTGCACTAATTATAGCAGCACACTATGGAAGTACTCACCACACCACACCAGCCTCCACAACTTCCAGCCATTACATGACAAATGCAGCTACATGCAAGCGTATACAGCTGAGTGTGATTAATCAGGTGGAGGTGCTGAGCTCAGCCCACTGGGCTGTGATCGAGAGCTAGTGGGCACGGGGTAGAACGTGCGTCCTGTACTGACACGCCTGAACAAGACAAAGAACACTAGCTGCTGTGGGATTCACACATCCAGAGCCCACACCTCCAACTGTGGCCTCTCGTTATTTGTGCAAATTTGAAAGCACTCTGTGGCAGGAATTGCAGGAGTAGCCTTGCTCTCAGCAGAGACGGAAAAAAGGTAATGCAAACAAAAAATGGGTTCCAGAGGTGTGATTACTTATTGTTGAGGAACGGACCTGGGCTTCAAGCCGGTGGAAGGACATGGAGTGACAGTGTGGAGGTGAGAGAAGATTTTCAAACCGTCACTATCTCAAGACCGTAAAAATTCAGCCGAAAATCCATGAATATGAAAAGGAGTGTGTCTGGCACAGGGCTGAGATATTAGGATGCACTCGAGGTGATGGAGAATAAGCAGCATTTAGAGATATGTATAGATTTATGCAGAGAGGCAGAGTTTGTTGCTCTCGGTCTAGCACTGCTGATGTTGCTGTTTCAGCCCTGTCATCTTTCCCGAGTGATGCTTGATGCGCCTCGGCATGCCTCGAAAACATTCCGTGCCTTTCCTCCAGTGAGAGTGGCAGCTGCCAGAGAGCCTCCAGGAGAGGGAAGTTTCTCTGCAGGTTTCTACCAGGGCTGAGAGGAGTGCACACAGCACCAACTACAAAGGGGGAGTCCTGGAAGGCAGGAGCATCATTTATGGAGAACAGCGGGTTCCACCGGGTCAAACCCATTGCAATTCAGGGTGACTCATGGGACGAGTCAAACTCAGTACAACTAATGATGAATTCTTGAAAAATCTGCATAGAAATGCATGCAGAAGCAAAGCAAAAGCAAGAAATATTACAGAACCTCAGAACCCTGAGAACCACACTGATTTAAAGGGCCTATATCAACAACAAAGCCACTTATAACATTTGTGTTACAATCAAAAGGCTGTTTTTGTCACTGTGATCTTAAGACTGAGATATGTAAATGACCTCTGTTCTGATTGGCTACCCTGTATTGTGCCTCCTTCAAAAAAGCAGTCCAGGCTGAAACACTGCTTATACTTTCAGCATGAATGGGCAGAGCTGAACAGCTGTAGGCTGAATAGATGATATATGTAGATGACATCACAAAAATATAAAAAACAGGCTTTGGTGTGAATGGTATGTTTTAAAACTTTAATAATGTTTCTATATGATATCAAACTCTCATGTCTGATGACAAAAAGCAAGATACATTTGGTTTTCCATGATATGGGCTGTTTAAACAATATAGAGGCGTTTCAGCTCTGCCATGCACTGCAAAGTTGTACCCGACCAAAAACAGCTCGGGTTCAAATGCTAGTTGTGTCTAATGCCGTTTGAGACTAGTGCTCCCCGAGGACACAACTGGACAACTGGCTGCATTCTCATTGGGAGAGAAAAAACAGGAGGGCCAATCTTTCCATCTTTAACTCTCCTAGGCCCAACATGGCACACAGGCCTTGAGACATCCTTGGTTAATTATTTCTCACCACATTTGAGTTTATAAAGAGAAGAGGACATTTTATTGCATTTTGACTTAGTATTTTAACTTACTATATCTTGGTATTTTTGCCATGTTTTTGATATCAAAACAAAAGTCAGAATCATCAAGCCTATTTACACGGATTGATAAATATAAATGTAATTCATTAAGTAATATAACTACGTAATTATTATGTAATTATTGTGTAACTACACATGAAAAATTTTACAATGTAAATCAAATGTATAGCAAAATTACAATAACATGTCTAGAAGTCTAAGGGTTAATTAGTCCCTGTAGTAGACAGTTGGTTTTCCACAGAGTTGCACTGAAGCGACTAGTATTCGTCTCTGAGCCTGTCCTCAATAAGACTACAGGAGCAGGCGCTTTAAAAAGTGTGGAGGTGGGCTCCTTAAACATCAGGAGGAGGTTTGCCTTTGTCCTCCTGTCATATGATAGGGGTGATATCCACTGGCTACGATTAGACTTGGCAACAACTAGGCAAAATAAAAATGGAGTTTAAAGGACACTACACAGCAGGAAGCACATCTGTTGCTTTGAAATTTGTGTTTCCACAAACCCCAAGTGGGTCATGGACTATGTTCCACAGAGAATTCTTCTGGCCAAGAGAGGCTCTTTTTCTGCTTCACATGAGAGACGTGGAGAGGTAGGTGTTACTAGTGACAGCAAAGTTCACCATTTATCTGCGGCAAAATAAAATGGATCGAGACGTATCCTGCAGCCCAAATTGAAGGAATGTGATAGGAGTGACAATTTAATATTGCATCTCCTC